TCATGTGAGAGGGGTGTAATACATTGTGTATAACATGAGGTGTACACATAGTATTTCCCTTTATTTAAGGCTTCATTTTGGGTGTTTTATGAAGATTTCAGATAAATATGTTTATTTTCTCATTTTAAGTCCAAAAATGATGATTTGAAACGAATCGAATAACAGAAAAAGGTTTATTTTGTTTGGAGAAAATAACTATAGATTTGAAGTGCAGTCAAGGTAGACCTACAAAGAGTGCCTTGTAGAAATATGTTTTGGCCTTTAGACAACATTTGAGAGGGATTTGAAACATGAGAATGATAATGACATGATGTATATAACAAAATGTTCCAAGTCAGCTTACCCAATCAACTTAATTATCTATTGTTGCTAAAGAAATTGAGAAAATTATGGCAGAGGACCGTGAGTTTAAGCTTATTACCACAATATAGCATCTCTTTCTTTGCTTCTGTTAGATGAATAGCCATGAGATAGTGACCTGACACAACAATCTTTTTGAAAATTGATTTTCTCTGATAATCTTATTTGTCTTAGCTTGTTAAACCTTTTTATTTGGCGTTTCATTCTGAATTTCTCTAGGAAACAAATTATGTTCCCATACGACGATGGAAGTAGGGTTGTTCTCATGATTAATGGGTGAGTTCATATTCTTCATTGTAGTTGACTTCGTACAATTGTACATGAGGATGCTTTCTTTTTGGATACGTAATAAATTCTGGTGATGCAGATTTTACCTTTCCCCAAGAAATACAAATTCTTTCCATATCTCGGGAAAAAAAAAAGGTTGAACTCCAATCTTGAGGGCCCCCATCATCCCGTCCCTAGAGCTTTGTGAGGGAGGTAAATCGCGGGATGTGCCCCATCAGGTCAGGGCACAAGAGCTGCTTGTACATTGCGCCTACAAGAAGTCTAATTCCATATTTCAAGAATCGAACCCCCACACTGCGACTGCCAGCAAAGCGTGAGATAACCTCACTCCCGTCCTTTGCACCACTAGGCTATGCCTCGGAGTGCAAATTCAAAAAAAAATCTTTCCATATCTCTTCTTTGTTTTAGGAGGTTCTCACGAAGGATGAAGAAAGATATTTGAATTCGATACAATATAGGGGTCATGATGATTGCTGCTGGAAAGACTATTCCTAAATTACAGCTAAAACATGGTCTTGCTGTTGATAGAGTTTGTACAGGGTCATTTATGACCTCTCTTGATCAGGGCCGGTTTTGTGGTTTTCAAGGCTGAGGCGAACTCCATAAGTTAGGCCCCCAAAATCAGCGTAAATGTAAAATCCAACAGTGTATTATTATCCAACATACTGTTAACTAAGAACGGATTGAGTATTAGATTTAAGATCAGGCTAAAAAATTTCAAGTCTAACTAATACACAAAATAAAAAAAAAAATTATACATATATAACTGTTTTTACCATAAAAAAAAATGTTTTCGGGCCTGGAATCCCCTAAATCCGTCTCTACTACTAACTTAAAATTTAGCAATAAAATAACAAACAAATATATTTAGAATTCTACTTCTAATACTGATTAAAAGAAAAAAAAAAGAATTCTACTTCTAATGAATTTTGGAAAATGTATGATTACTCATTTATGAGCTTTTAAAGGTTTGATCATTGTGATTTGCATTACCACAATGGCAAAAACTACTACCACTCCAAACGCTAAAATAGAACTCTATAAATTTCAAATTGAATAGAATAATCACTTTACCAAATAATTAATCAATGTCATTAAAAGCTATAAATTACTAACAAACTACTAGAAAAAACTACTGAAGTAAAACAAACATGAATAGATAAACATCTCAATTCATTTAAAGAAAGAATAAATCCCTCGAATATATACACATTGCTGCAGTCAAGTTGCCAGATATTAAAACTCAATGACCAACATAAATTATTTATCCACCCACCACAGATTCACAATTCTTATTTTAATGCCAAATAATACATCCAACAATTTTTTTGAATTAAGCTAAATGACGATATTGTTTGACACATCTCTCACAACCGAGGTGTGGGTCCCAGGTGAATAAAATAATGTCGACCTCCCCATGTGAGTGAATGTGTCAACCGACGTGTCAAGATTTGTGGTCATATAGCATGACCCTCTTTTTTTTTTTTTTTTATAAGTAAACTCATCGAACATAATTTATTATTCATAACTTATAAGTCATAAATAAAAAATAACACCAAAAAAAAAAAAAAAGGAAAGAGGAGAAGAAAACAACAAAAGTTACAGAACAATGAAGGAGAAGGGCGCTCTCCACTAGTTACTGCTGTCCGCAATCTGCTCAAGGGAAGCCCATCCAAAAGTCCGGTTCGGAGTATGTCGGCGGCACGGCGGACTGCAGCAACTCGCACGGCAACAGGAGGTGGAGTCGGGAGGCGTGGAACTTCCAACGTGGATGAGGGTTCCTGCTCACAGCACATTGCGTATGTTTTCTCAAATCTCAACTTATGCCTCTTTTTAGTTTTTGGTATATATGGATCATGGGGGGTTTATTTGGATTAGGTCTGGTCATTTCTTCAAGTTTTAAAAAGCAACAGCCCAATAGAAGACCCAAGATTAAAAAAAAAGATGAAAAACCATCCTGTCTTCTTCTTCTCGATGACTTCTCTGCAACTCCAACTACAACATCTTCATTCAATTTACTTCTCCATCTAATTGAAGAAAAAAATAAAAATTGGCCATGGAAATGAGGCCCCCTTCAGTTTTTGGCTTGAGGCGGAGGCCTCATCTGCCTCGCCTAAGGACCGGCCCTAGTCCCACTAAAACTGTCAATGAATTCGTACAGAATGAGGAGGGTGAGGATGAATGTCATCTCCACTTATATGGAGGCCATATGGACATTTTCCCCGTCAAAAGGAAGGCCATTGCAAAAGGTATAACTTATGGTAAGGGAAGTTATCTTTAAGAAGTCCAAATTGTTGCCAAAACTAGTTCTGGCAAATCCGCAATGGATACTATTGAATCTGACATACCTCATCATTCTTTGTTGGATGTGTAACGGTGGAACAGGAACAGGAATCTTGGAGGTGGACGGTAACCTGCAAACAAATTAGACTTTGAATAAATGCAATATTTGTGATAATAAACTGAGTTGACAAGCACTTGTACTTATTGCAAACTGAATTACAACATAAATAATTGGTTTAACAATTTCCAAAAGCATCAGGGGTTTGAATGACAAACACTCGAATGAGCTTGCATGCATATATAGTGACTGAGTACTAACCATCAGCACCAACAGGCAAATTTGGAGCCTTAGTTGGAGCATCCAAGCGGTTCAAAATAGCTTCGTCTGTGTGCATTTCAGTGATGGAAAAGCCTGCCCAGAATACATAAGTTAAATTGGAGTGTATATGAATAAGCTTAAAAGTAAGTTCAACGTAACTATAAACTAAATTTTTATTGCCAAATATGTTCGTATTTTTTTCTTTTTAGTAAAAGACGGAACTTATTTTGATTTTTGATGGCGAGATGGGAGTTACTTTCAAATAAGTAACATAGTTATTTCCAACTTTGATGAACAAAAAAAATATTTTTAGAACTCATTTATTTACTTATAAAAATATTTAAGCTTCGCCAAACATGCATTAGGTCTTTATCTCATAAATAAGCTCTGGCAGACATTAAGATACCAGCCATGTCAAGAGCAGGGCGGTCCTGAGACGAGACAGATGAGGCCTCCGCCTCAAGCCAAAAACTGAAGGAGGCCTCATTTCCATGGCCAATTTTTATTTTTTGTTCTTCAATTAGATGGAGAAGTAAATTGAATGAAGATATTGTAGTTGGAATTGCAGAGAAGCCATCGAGAAGAAGAAGAAAAAGACAGGATGGTTTTTCATCTCTTTTTTTTTTTTTTTTTTTTTTTTTAATTTTTGGGTTTTTTTTTTTTTTTAAATCTTGGGCCTTTTATTGGGCTGTTGCTTTTTAAAACTTGAAGAAATGACCAGGCCTAATCCAAATAAACTCCCCATGATCCATATATACCAAAAACTAAAAAGAGGCATAAGTTGAGATTTGAGAAAACATACGCAATGTGCTGTGAGCAGAAACCCTCATCCACGTTGGAAGTCCCACGCCTCCCGACTCCACCTCCCATTGCCGTGCGAGTTGCTGCAGTCCGCCGTGCCGCCGACATACTCCGAACCGGACTCTTGGATGGGCCTCCCTTGAGCAGACTGCAGACAGCAGTAACTAGTGGAAAGCGCCCTTCTCCTTCATTGTTCTGTAACTTTTGTTGTTCTCTTTTCTTCTCTTTCCTTTTTCTTTTTTTTTTTTATTATTTTTTATTTATGACTTATAAGTTATGAATAATGATTTATGTTCAATGAGTTTACTTATCAAAAAAAATTGGGTCATACTACATGACCACAAACCTTGACACATCGGTTGACACATTCACTCACATGGAGCGGTCGGCATTATTTTATTCACCTGAGACCCACACCTCGGTTGTGAGAGATGTGTCAAACAATGTTGTCATTTCGCTTAATTCAAAAAAAAATTATGTTGGATGTATTAATTGGTAAATTGGCATTAAAATAAGAATTGTGAATCTGTGGTTGGTGGATAAATAATTTATGTAAGTCATTGAGTTTTAATATCTGGCAACTTGACTGCAGCAATGTGTATATATTCCAGGGGTTTATTCTTTCTTTAAATGAATTGAGATGTTTATCTATTCATGTTTGTTTTACTTCAGTAGTTTGTTAGTAATTAATAGCTTTTTATGACATTGATTAATTATTTGGTAAAGTGATTATTCTATTCAATTTGAAATTTACAGAATTCTATTTCAGCGTTTGGAGTGGTAGTAGNTAAAATTTTTTTTTTTTTTTTTTTAATCAGTATTAGAAGTAGAATTCTAAATATATTTGTTTGTTCTTTTATTGCTAAATTTTAAATTAGTAGTAGGGACGGATTTAGGGGATTCCAGGCCCGAAAACCTTTTTTTTTTTTATGGTAAAAACTGTTTTATATGTATAATTTTTTTTTTTATTTTGTGTATTAGTTAGGCTTGAAATTTTTTAGCCCAGTCTTAAATCCAATACTCAATCCGTTCTTAGTTAACAGTATGTTGGATAATAATACACTGTTGGATTTTACATTTACGCTGATTTTGGGGCCCTAACTTATGGAGTTCGCCTCAGGCCTCGAAAACCACAGAACCGGCCCTGAGTGGGAGCTTCACTTTTTACGTGAATAGATATCTTATTTATCAGCACTGATGTGTCATTAACAAGGATGGTGTTGAAGTTTATCGCACATTGATAAATAATTGCCTCTCAACCTGGTATATGATCCCAGACAGCCTATCCACTCACTAACGGTTATTTTGAGATGGATTCTTTAAGTGATGGAAATTTATACTTATTTTACAAGTTAAGAATTATTTGCACTTCCCTTTTTTCTTATGCAATAAATGATAAATATTTTATCTTGCACTGTCATCCTCACATCGAAATTTGAAGCATATCCTCCTGCCTCCAATATATGAGCTAAACCACTTTCTGTAATGGATGAGCAAACTCTACTAGATAGTGTTTCTATTCTTGATGCTGTGAACTTGGAAGAAAATATGATCTTTTATTGTGACCATCGCCTCAATGCTTACCTGCCTTGTTTTTTGATTAGACATCAAATCAGCCCGAACAGCTAAGTCCTCAGGGCCATATTCTTGAAGTGGCTATTGAAGCAACAGCAACTGCAGTTATCTATCTAAGGGACAGTTCAAATGAATTAGACAACAAAGTTGGTGATGGTGATTGTAGATCAACAGTAAGTACCGTGATTTAAATATGTTGTTCCTCACGCTTTTCAGAATGTGGTTGCACATTGTGCATACTTTTGATTTCTTGCCATGTTATAGATGTTCAGAGGCGCGTCAGCTATTCTTGAAGACATATATGGTTGTGTGTCATCTTATTCTGTGGCCTCCTCACTCCCTCCCTCTCTCAATTAAGCCACAGTGCTTGGATATTGAAATAATTGTCCAATTTGAACTTGACAAGTTTGGTCCTAATTCTTATTTGTTTGTAGATACAGACTCCTGTGCTTCAAATCTTTTTAACATGAGGGCAAAATGACCCTGGTCCTGTAGATTATTTAACTGGTCTTTGGTTTTGATTTAGGTTGATTCTTTCTGGAATTGTTACAGCCATTTTCTGTGGATATGGTGATTGACTTTTATTACAACTTTCAAATATCTGCCATTCATTCCTTGGACTATTCTGAAACAAAAATCCAGTTACGTCTTACTATATTTCTTTTTTATCATATGATTACATTGTTACTGCAATATTGTAATGCATTACTCAGAAGTAAAATCATTTTTCATTTTCATTTTGCATTTGATTGTTTACAGTGATTATGGTAATTTGGCATTTTTCATGACACAGATAATTGATTGTTAGGAAAATGTGTAATTGGCAATTTGTGACCAAAGGACCTATTTGTCAAAATTGTAAAGTCAAGGATTAAATTGTACAGGTCAAATAGTTCAGGGACTAAAGTTGCAATTTAGTAAAGGTCATAGCATAGGTCTAGGGTAAAGTGGGATGCTTTGAAGATGCAAACGACGGGTTGATGTCGCTGGAGTTTCGCCCTGACCTTGCTAGAGCCAAAATTGCAGAACTAATCTCGCTGGAGTTTCGCTGGTCTATTGCTTGAGCGAAGGTACGTCGCTCGAGTTTCGCCAGGACCTCGCTCGAGCGACCATGTTATCTGGCCTTTGGTAATTTTAATGCCTCGCGAATTTTTAACGCCCTATATTACCAAATTCGACCTACTATATAAACAAAACGTCCGATTTTCTAATGTGACCTTTGGCAAACATTAAAACAACAATTCCTCTCAACTTCCAAAGGATCAAGAACCAACAATAAATTCATCTTTGATTCTCATGGTTCTTTGAATAAAAACATCAACCCTCACAAAACCAAAACACCCTTTCATATCTCCATATAAACTTCCAGAAAATCGTCTGTTTGAAGATCCGGGAAGGAAATTGCTTGAAGAATTGGAGAGTTTGGTGATTCACAGGAGGTAGAAGATATTCAAAGCTGGGATTTTGGCGCAGATCTGCAAAATCCAGGATAGCTGTGGTCGATACAGTAAGGAGGGCAGAATATTGTTAGAATCAATAATGTCTGACGTACTGTAAGTCAATATCTTCTATAGTGGATCTCTACTGGCTTGTGCCCGGAGGTTTTACCCAGATGGGTTTTCTCCGTCAACATTTTGTTGTGTTTTTACTGCTTTATGTTATTTATTTTTCAACCGGTAATTCAATTTAGGTAGATAAAGTATGTGAATGAATCTAGGCAATGTATAATTGATGTGACTTGTTGCATCAGTTAATTAATTGTTTTAATTCCGCATAAACACCTATTCACCCCCCTCTAGGTGTTGGTTGGGTCGAACTATTGCTTTTTCAATTCACCCCCCTCTAGGTGTTTGTTGGGTCGAACTATTGCTTTTTCAAAGTGGTATCAGAGCTAAATCTCGAGTCCTGACCCATAGTTGTCTAGATGAGTCAATCACTTTCTGTACCTCCGTACTTTGACGGAAGTAATTATGCCTATTGGAAGGTTAGAATGCGTGCGTTTCTTAAATCTTTAGATGAGCATGTTTGGGTAAGTGTGCAAAATGGTTGGAAACCTCCCTCTACTATCGTATCAGGAACTGTTAACCTTACCGACATATCACTATGGACTAAGGATGAAATAGCTGAGTGTAATTGGAATAGCAAGGGTCTTCATGCCCTGTTTATGGCCGTGTCTCTTGAAGAGTTTAGGAGAGTGTCAATGTGTGAAACTGCTAAAGAGGTTTGGGACATTCTTGAAACTACCCATGAGGGAACTAAAACGGTCAAGAACTCTAAGTTACAAATGCTAACTTCTAGGTTTGAAGAAGTGAGAATGAAAGACGATGAAACGTTTGACGAATTCTATGCTAAACTGAATGACATTGTTAACTCTAGCTTCAATCTAGGTGAGAAAATTCCCGAGTCTAAAATTGTGAGAAAAGTGCTTAGGTCCCTGCCCGAGAAATTTAGGCCTAAAGTTACTGCCATTGAGGAAAGTAAGGACCTAGATGAAGTTAAAATTGAAGAACTGGTAGGATCGTTGCAAACTTATAAACTCACTATTACACAACCTAAGAAAGGAAAGTCCATAGCCCTAAAATCCATCAAAGAAGATGAATCTTCTGATACTGAGTCACTTAGGAACGAGGAAATCGCGTACTTTGTTAAGAAATTTCAAAAAGTTCTCAAGAATAGGAGAAAGCCTCAGGATAAAAAGAGTGGAGCTCCTAGCAGATTCACAAAAGCAAAAACTGAAACGTTTAACAATAAAGGGTCGAGTGATAAACCACGTTTGGTTAGGTGCCATGAGTGTCAAGGTATAGGTCACTATAGGAATGAATGCCCTAGTTATAAGAAGAACCAAAGAAAAGGGAAAGGTAGGCCTTAGTTGTCTCACTTACAGATAATGAATCTAAGACCAGTGATAGACAGGAATCTTCTAGTAGTGAGGATGAAGGAAACTATATGGCATTTGTATCAACTGTTAAGAGTGAATCTGATAAGGAGAGTGACAAGGTTGAGGAAGAACTTCCCAACGATAATTCTAGTAATGAGGAAGAGGATGACATAGACATACAAGAAGCTTATCAACTTTTATTTAAGGAGAGTCTTAAATCAAAAAGGTCAATAAAGCCCTACTCAAAAAGGTTGATGAACTTGAGAGAGAAAAAGAGAAACTTGCTAGTAATCTTCAGAATTCACTTAAGAGTGGCAGTGAGTTAAAGTGTGTCAATGAGAAGTTAGAAGACAAGATTAAGACTTTGACTAGTGAATTGGTGAAATTTAATGCTCATCTTCAGACTTTCGTAAGTGGGACGAAGAAATTGGACAATATTTTGGAGATGAATAAGCCTGCAGGAGATAGGAAGGGTCTAGGATATGTTGAGAGTAATACACATGTTGCTGGACCTTCTGAGACTGTTTTTGTTTCTGCCTCTAAGAAAGTTAATGCTGTGAGTAGTTCAAATAAGGGTAAAAATGTTCCGGGAGAACAGAGTCATCAATCACGTAGGAACTTCATACCCAGATACCCTCAGCCACGTACCTTTGAGCCTAGGTTCATTCCCACCTGTCACCACTGTGGAGCCTTAGGACACACTAGGCCTAGATGCTATAGGTTAGGGAATGAGCGTAAAAATCTGAACATTCCTAAGTAGGTTAGCTTTCTGTCTAATCAGGTTAGTTATTTGACTGAGATGCTTACTAAGCTTACTAGGAGTACTTTATCATCTAAGAAAGTTTGGGTCAAAAAGGGTGATCTAGCTAGACATTCAGGACAAGAAACGTGTTTTGTTGCTCATGTTGCATTGAAAGCCCAAAATTACGACATGTGGTACCTAGATAGTGCATGTTCTAGACATGTGTGGTAATAAGGCTTTATTCACTACTCTTGATGAATGTAACGGTGGTATGGTTACCTTTGGAGATGGGGGTTCTGCACCTATTCTTGGCAAAGGTACTGTACAAATACATGGTTTACCTGTGATCTCTAATGTGCTTTATGTGGAAGGTTTAAAGTCTAACTTGTTAAGTATTAGTCAAATTTGTGATGCTAATTTTGAGGTGAGTTTTGTGCAAAGAGATGTACTGTGTATGATTCGTTTGGTGGGGTAATTCTTGAAGGGGTTAGAACAACAGATAATTGTTATGGAGTCTTGCCTAATTCTAACTATGTGTGTAGGAGTGCTAAAATTGATGTGAGTGAACTCTGGCACAAAAGATTAGGTCATTTGAACTATAAGAGTCTAGTACAACTGGCTAGGAAAGAATTGGTAGATGGTTTGCCTAAGATAGGTCCTAGTGAAAATGTTGTGTGTGGACCATGTCAACTAGGTAAACAACTTAAGGGGAGTCATAAGAAGACTTCAAAAATTCTGACCAAAAGACCCCTAGAATTGATACAAATGGATTTAATGGGACCATCTAGGACTGAGAGTTTAGGTGGTAAGCGATACATTCTTGTTGTGGTAGATGACTTCTCGAGATTCACATGGATAGAATTGCTTAGGGAAAAATCCGATGCATGTGATCTCATAAAATCTTTGTATAAACGGCTTAGCAATCAACTAAATCTCAAAGTGTCTAAAATGCGTAGTGACCATGGAAAAGAGTTTGAGAATTTTAATCTTGAAAGTTTCTGTATGGATGAAAGGATATTGCATGAGTTCTCTTCGCCTATCACTCCTCAACAAAATGGGGTGGTTGAAAGGAAGAATCGGGTTCTTCAGGACATGGCTAGAGCCATGCTTCATGGCAAGGGACTAGCCCTACATTTTTGGGGAGAAGCTGTTAACACTGCATGCCACATAATTAATAGAGTTTACCTTAAACCCAAGACCGATCAGACTCCATATGAGATACTTAAGGGTAAAAAGCCTACTGTTAAGTACTTTCGAGTGTTTGGGAGTAAGTGCTACATTTTGCGTGATAGAGAGAACTTGAGTAAGTTTGAATCGAAGAGTGATGAAGGAATCTTCTTTAAGTACTCTAGAAATAGCCGAGCATTTAGGGTGTATAACTTACGTACTCATGTGGTGATGGAGTCAGTAAATGTTGTGATAGATGATGATGTGAGTGAGGGGGAGAGTGTTGAAAATTGTGATAAAGATGGTGATCTTATAAGTTCTAGTGATCCTACTGAGCCACCTGTGTCTGAATCATCTCTTGGGAAACCTGAAACACCTTAAAAGAAAACATTTCCACAAGATCGAGATAAAGATCCTAAGGAATCATCGACTAAGGTTAAGTCTAATCATCCTAAGGACAATATCATTGGGGATCTAGATGAAGGTATGAGGCTTCGTAGGAGAGCACTGAACAATATAGCATACACTAGCTATGTCTCTTAGGTAGAACCTAAGAAATTTGAAGAGGCGCTTAGTGATGAGTGTTGGGTGAGTGCGATGCATGAGGAGCTCAATCAATTTGCAAGGAACAATGTGTGGATCTTAGTTCCCAGACCTGAGAATTGTAATGTTATAGGTACTAAGTGGATCTTTAAGAACAAGACAGATGACCAAGGTACTATAACTAGGAATAAGGCTAGACTAGTTGCTCAGGGTTATACTTAAGTTGAAGGAATTGATTTTGATGAGACTTTTGCCCCTGTTGCACGACTCGAGTCTATTCGAATTCTGCTTGCTGTTGCATGTACCCTAGGGTTCAAGTTGCATCAAATGGATGTTAAGAGTGTTTTCTTGAATGGACTTCTTCAAGAAGAAGTCTATGTGGAACAACCAAAAGGATTTGTTGATCCTAAGTTTCCCCACTATGTCTACAAACTTCACAAAGCCCTCTATGGTCTGAAGCAAGCTCCTAGAGCTTGGTATGAGAGACTTACATCATACCTTGAAGAGCATGGATTCTCTCCAGGTGGTGCAGATAGGACTTTATTTATTAAACATGTTGAAGAAACTATCACCATTGCTCAGATTTATGTCGATGATATTATTTTTGGTTCTCCTCTTGAGTCTTTAGCTCATGAGTTTGCTTAGTGTTTGAAGCAAGAATTTGAAATGAGTATGGTTGGGGAGTTAAGTTATTTCTTTGGACTTCAAGTGAGACAGATAGAGGATGGACTGTTCATTTCACAATCTAAGTATGCTAAGGATCTAGTTAAGCGCTTTGGGCTGGATAGTAAGAAACATACTAGGACACCTATGAGTACTAGTTTGAAGTTAAGTCGTGATGCTTCAGGTAAGAGTGTCGATCCTTCCCTATATAGAAGCATGATAGGTAGTCTTCTTTATCTCACAGCTACTAGACCTGACATTGCTTTTAGTGTTGGAATGTGTGCTCGATATCAGGCAAATCCAAAAGAATCACACTTAAGCTCTGTTAGACGCATCATTAGATATGTGAGTGGAACAGTTGATCTAGGAATATTCTATTCTAGGAATTCTAATCTTGACTTGGCTGGTTACTCCGACGCCGATTGGGCCGAAAACGCGGATGATAGGAAAAGCACGAGAGGGGGTTGTTTTTACATGGGTAGCAATCTCGTAGCCTGGTTGAGTAAGAAACAGAATTCTATATCTCTATCCACGGCAGAGGTCGAATACATAGCTGCAGGTAGTTGCTGCACTCAGCTTCTCTGGATGAAGCAGATGCTGAGTGATTATTGGATTAATCAAGGAACCATGACTATTTTCTGTGATAATACAAGTGCTATAAATATTTCTAAGAATCCCATTCAACACTCTCGAACAAAACATGTTAACATCCGACATCATTTTATTCGTGAGCTTGTTGAATCACATGTAGTCTCTCTCGACCATGTCTCTACTGATAATCAATTGGCAGATCTACTTAGGAAACCACTAGATGGATTGAGGTTTGAGTCGCTTCGGACGGCTGTTGGTGTTTGCTCACCTATCTGATCTTGGATTCATGCATATTCATGCATTCATCACATATGCACCTAGTCACTTCATATCTTGCATGTGATTTGTGTGTGTGTGACGCATTTTTGATTGTTAGTTTGTCATTTAGTCTTCTTTTGTGTGTTTAAATATGAAAATAAAAAAAAAATCATCATAATAAACCATAAAAATAAAATGGGATTTTGTGTGTGTGCGCCTTTTATGTGAAGATAATGGCTTTTGCATTAAAGATCAGACTCTATTTTTCATCATATGTACAAGTCTGAGATTCCATTATCGTTCTCTTTGCCTGTGGAGTTCTGGGTATATGGCTCGTCATTCATTTTTGTACAGCACACACTGTAGTCCTGTGAGTGAGTCTTGACCGCATGGGTGAGACTTGGGATGGTGTTCTTCTATGATTCGGGTTATGTGTCCATTTGACTTGATCTGGGACTAGTGTCACCTAATCATATTGTCTTTCCCCACTTTTCTTTTGCTGAACTTCTGACTGTTTTCGGGGCCTATTTGACTCGAACAATTAAGCCTGAGGGGTTTCTAACCTGGTGACCTATGGTCATCTGACTTGGGAGTCACTGGCCCAAAGTTCGTTACCGGAGTCATTTATGTCAACTAATGGGGATAGCATTGCACTTAGGTTCTTTTGTTTCAAAAAAAAATATTATGGAATCATACAGTTAGGGAGAATAAAATTGTGACAATCGCAATATTTGATATAGGTCCTCGTGGAATTGGATTTGACTGTCACTTGGTAGACATACACCTCTGTCTGGTTGTTTTTACGTGTCCTTTCTCACTAATTTAAGGTTTTTGAATCTCACTTGCATGGACTACGTGACACTTTTCACGATGATATTCTATATACACTTTACTCCACGGGATTTTGAACTATGTGTGGACTTACGATTTGTCTATGTACTGAGTGTGGAGGTTGTGATTTTATGCTTTCTGTTGGTATAGTAAAATGTAATTGGTCCCATGCTTCGTGTTTCCAATGCTCTGTTCTTGTCTTACTTTTGAAAATACACGATTTGAGGCTAATTTCGTCATTTCTTGATAATTGTGCTCTTTTTCTCCATATTCAAAATTTTAGTGCTATTTCTGACATTTGAACTTCACTTGAGTATCGCCCACACTTCGCTCGAGCGACAAATGCAGAATGCTTTTCGTTCGAGTTTCGCCCACATCTCGCTCGAGCGACCGTGCATTTTTAAAAGTCACCGGTTTCATTTTTCGCGCAATTCTTCTCCATTTTCTCTCATTTCTTCACTAATTGCTGCAACTCCTTCAAACTTCATACTTCACACTTGTTTCTGACAAAATTTCGAAGCCCCTAACACATATTGGCTTCCGGATTTCAAAATTTGCACATCGGTTTGAGGTATTATTTTTTTTCTTTTTTTTCTTTTTTTTCTTCTTCCCTATTGTGTTTGTGTATTTTGATTATTTCTTCTTCCCTTGTTATGATATTCATGCATTTCTTGTGTGTTATTCTTGTTATCCTTCGATTTTGGCATCATATTTTACATTACATTGTGTGTTCTTCATTCATGTTGTCCGTTCTTGCATTCCGTTACTCCGTTTGCTGTGTGGTTTGTTTCCTTTTAAAGCCCTTGCATTCTAGTTTGTGGGACTATGCTTGGATGCATGCTTGGGTTTCGTATGTGCTTGGAATTGTGTGCCGAAGTGACGTCCATCATGTGTTCGATGAAAGTCCCCTGTTATGTTTTGCTTTTTTTCTTTTCCTTCGTTTGTGTGTTTCATTTTTTTTCTCCTCTTCATTCCACCTTTGTTTCATTTTCGTCACGTGACTTTTTGAGTGTTTTTACACATATTTTTGGTGAATATTTCCATCATGCTTGGTTTGATCTTAAGGTCGTTCACGTTTTTCGATGCATCTCTTTCGTGCCTCATTTGTGTGTGCAGTGTTTCATTTCATATTGCATCGTACCCCGTGCATTCTTCATCTTACTAATTGAGTTTCATCTCTCCATGTGTCAGATGGCCCGTAAGCGTTCTCGACCTTCTGTGCAGCCAGCTAGTGGTTCGACGTCGTATAGTCGTTCCTAATTCATTTCTGCTACAGCTCAGGAGGTCTTCACTTCTCAGTTCTCCTTACGCCCCGTTCTCATGGAGTGTGAGGTAATCCTCTCTGACCTTCCTGTTGATATCGCCGCCATTTTTGTTTCTCGGGGTTGGGAGCCCCTTCTTGTTGATTTTTCACCTCCTCCCTCACTCCTCGTTCAGGAATTCTATGCTAACATTCATGATATCGACGGCTCGTCTTTTCGGGTTACTCTTAGAGGTCATTCTTTTAGGGTTACTCCGTCGGCTATAGCTCATGCTTTAGGTATACCTCATATTACCCATCCGACTTATCCCTATATTTTACCTGCTTCTATTCCGGCCGATTCTCTTGTTCGGTCGACGATTTTGAACACCCCGTCTATCGGGGGGCCTTCGGCGATGGCCACGGGGTCTTTACCTACTGATCGTCAGGTGTTGTTGCGCATAGTGTGTACAAACCTGTGGCCGGTTGCCCATACCTCTTCATTACCTTTGGTCCGAACCCGTTTTCTTTATGCTCTTCTTCATGGGGACTCGATCGACTTTCCTAGTTTTGTGTGCCAGAATATTCTGGCTTCATTTCGTACTCCTGGGAGTCAGATCGGGTTGCCTTATGCTTGCTTGATTCATAGGGTTGCTTTGTCGTTGGGTGCTTCCTTTCCAGAGGGTTCGACTTGTCGCATAGGCCGTCCGATAGGACAGCAGACCATTCATCAGAGTCGATCCCATGTATAGTCATCTTCCTCTTCTTCTCATGCTACGGGTCAGGCAGCAGTCGTTGATGTTTTTGATTTTTCGGAGCCCTTTGATCCTATTACTGAGATTCTTACAAGGGGTTCCCGTGTGTTTCTCTCTCCTCGTACGGCTTTTCCTTCGACCACTCCACTTACTTCTGCCTTTCCTTCGACCTCTACTTCTACTTCTGCTCTTGGGGTGGCTGCTTTGCCCGTGGACCCCATGATGACGCTTATGGGACAGATGTCTACTTTGGTCGAGCAGCAGGCTTGTATGATGGCAGAGATCACGCAGTTACGGGCCGCGTCGGAGCGTCAGTCAGCTGAGCTTTCTTCTTTTCGTCGTGCTCTTGCAGTATGTCAGCGTCATTTGCATTGGATTCGTGATAGTATGGAGGACGACACGGATGCTGAGAGCGGAGCTGAGTCTTCAGATGCTGGTGGTGCTGCATCGTAGTTCGTTAGTTCATTGTTTTGACCTTTGTCCTTTGTGACAAAAAGGGGGAGTAGACATTTAGATAGATAGATAGATCGATAGATCTTAAATTTTTTGGTAATTGTGTTATACTTCATGACTAGATTAAGTTTCTTGATGTTTTGGCAATATTAATGTATGTTTTTGGTGTTTTTGACTTACATTATTATTGCTTCTTAATCTGGTTAATGACATATGATCGATTTCTTGTTTAATGTTTCCATTTCATATGCTTTTACACTTGGTATTTGAGTTCGTGATTTTCAGGAAACAGGTTCAACAAGAGATTGCTACTTTAGTTGAATAGATAGGTTGTTTGGAGTTATGTTTATTTTTTGTCCTTGACTGTCATATGTATTTTTGTCACAGAATGCCAAAGGGGAGTTTGTTTGGAAAATGTGTAATTGGCAATCTGTGACCAAAGGACCTATTTGTCAAAATTGTAAAGTCAAGGACCAAATTGTACATGTCAAATAGTTCAGGGACTAAAGTTGCAATTTAGTAAAGGTCATAGCATAGGTCTAGGGTAAAGTGGGATGCTTTGAAGATGCAAACGGCGGGTTGATGTCGCTGGAGTTTCGCCTTGACCTTGCTAGAGCCAAAATTGCAGAACTGACCTCGCTGGAGTTTCGCTGGTCTATCGCCTGAGCGAAGGTACGTCGCTCGAGTTTCGCCAGGACCTCGCTCGAGCGACCATGTTATCTGGCCTTTGGTAATTTTAATGCCTCGCGAATTTTTAACGCCCTATATTACCAAATTCGACCTACTATATAAACAAAATGTCCGATTTTCTAATGTGACCTTTGGCAAACATTAAAACAACAATTCCTCTCAACTTCCAAAGGATCAAGAACCAACAATAAATTCATCTTTGATTCTCATGATTCTTTGAATAAAAACATCAACCCTCACAAAACCAAAACACCCTTTCATATCTCCATATAAACTTCCAGAAGATCGTCTGTTTGAAGATCCGGGAAGGAAATTGCTTGAAGAACTGGAGAGCTTGGTGATTCACAGGAGGTAGAAGATATTCAAAGTTGGGATTTTGGCGCAGATCTGCAAAATTCAGGATAGCTGTGGTCGATACAGTAAGGAGGTCAGAATATTGTTAGAATCAATAATGTCTGACGTACTGTAAGTCAATATCTTCTATAGTGGATCTCTACTGGCTTGTGCCCGGAGGTTTTACCCAGATGGGTTTTCTCCGTCAACATTTTGTTGTGTTTTTACTGCTTTATGTTATTTATTTTTCAACCGGTAATTCAACTTAGGTAGATAAAGTATGTGAATGAATCTAGGCAATGTATAATTGATGTGACTTGTTGCATCAGTTAATTAATTGTTTTAATTCCGCATAAACACCTATTCACCCCCCCCCTCTAGGTGTTGGTTGGGTCGAACTATTGCTTTTTCATTGATGAAATTGATAAATGATTCATAGATGATCTTAAATAGTTGTCTCATTCAGACTGCTATTTATTAAAACTTGTGTTGCCAAAAGATATGCAAAACTGCCAAAACACCAAATGCTTTTGAGTCTAGGATATGCGGGAATGTCTTTCTTGCATCATCGAGTAACTATTAGGCACGATGTAAGTTGAGAAATGTAATTGCAGATTGCTAAAAAATTATGGCACAGTGAATGCAGTACTTTGCCAAGTTTATCTATAATCTATTTGCACCTGTTTTTCTTATATTTGTTTATTGTTGATTTCACCTTTTTGTTTCTTTTCTTTATTATTACATTTTTTTTGCTTAATTCTTTTTCTGTTTGTACAAGGATCATTTGCATTGCCTAATAGTACTTAATTTGTTTCTTTTTGTATTTCTACTTATTGGGAATTTACTTAAACATGCACAGCGGAATTAAACAAATTTCAATTCTCATTCAGGATTCAACTTTGTATTTAGATAAGAACTGTGATAAGAAATATACCTTTTCTTGATTTTGCAAATTCCTTCACGTTATTCCTTTTAAGCAGTTTGAATCTGCCTCCCACAGCTGTCCAATTGTCCAGCCTCCAATGAAATCCACACAGAGAATAAACTGCAACTGCTAGGGTTTTTCCTCGTGTACCAGCAAGGATAATGAAAACCTTATGAACCTCAAACTCTAGTCATGTATTTATATAAACTCAAACGGGCTCAGTCCGGTCCGGTCTAATGTTTAATTAATCCATTTAATTAAATTCGGTCCGTGAATTAATTAATCCAATTAATTAATTCGGGAATATAAATAACAAATCCAATTAATTAATTTATCCAACGATTGTTAAATTAATTAATTGGCAATCTGCAATCTTTCAATTCTCTTTTATGTGCGACCCATTAGGTTCCCGACCATGATACCTAACGACGTGAAATATTATTTTGATCTAATCAAAACTGATAAATTAAACACCCTTTTAATTTATCACAGATTCACACTCGTCGTCCCAAATTGACGTCTAGCAATGTATCAGGGCAACACATGTGACGGAAAATGTCACGTGGTATGACAAAACCAAAACTGTTCGTTTACCATGAAATTATCATCCATTCGTCAATATGATCCAATCAACTACGAAATATGGAAGTGTGTCAATCTCGATTATCGATCATATCTTTCATTCTTCTATTAAGTCAATATGAGTCGAAAACTCTTTTTCGACTTATATATACACCTTGGCCAAAAATTTCGTTATTGACTTAATTGAACGAAATGCAGATCACAATCTCTTACTATCTAAGAGTGACGAATCATCTATTGGTTATTCACAACCTTCATATGGTTCTTGACATACGCGAACGATGTCGTATTAGCAGCCATTGGCAGAGCAACATCCAACACTGTCAAAATATGACTGTCCTCATACAAGGGACTATGATGACCTCAAGTTGTAGGACCAATTTCATTACCGAACGTTAGAGATTAACTACTGATACTCAGATAGTTATCCATGTGGAATCTCTTAGTGGGTCTCCAATGTTTTGTTCTATAACAAAAATATCAACGTGTTCATTTAAGTGTCACCACACTTTAGCTCGTGAGATCAGCTACTTACTTTACACGTAAGAAATGCCACACGTGATGATCTAACTGTATTAACGATATCCGTATCTCGTTATTACTTACGACCACGGTTTATTCAAGATCCAATTATATGTAATTTGTATCTCACAATCACAACTCCTTGTAATTAACAAATCACTTAAACTTGGATCTTCGGATTCTATTATTTAATACTATTTATCACAAAATTAATTTAAATAAATAATAGATCTCGCCAAAATTAAATGCATTAAACATATTAAAAGCATTTACAACCTAAATCGATTGGATTTAGGGCATAACACTTACACTACTTTTCCAGTTATCCACTGAATGATCCAGCAGAAACCGTGTATGAAATTGGATCTTCTATTAGGAGTCATGGGAGGAACAATTGGCATCATGTACGATATGTGACTGCTTTATTTTGAATAAATCGGCTGCTGTAGTCATTCATATATACGATATTTTTCCTGATATCTAAATAATCTCGTCTAAAGAATGATGACCTTGTATCTTTCTTAACACAACAGATATGATATATTCTGTAAGGCAGCTTATTCACAATTGAAAGCAGATAGCCATTCAGTTATTATGGCCCTACACTGTAAGATGACTTCAGTGCTGTGATTTCTAAGTTTGCAGAGTTGCGTGTTTGGAACTAGGTAATTAAATTCTTCTTGATATAGGGGCTGGTGCATTTGAAGCTGCTATAGCAGCAATCAGCAAATATGGTGGAGCTGGAGCCAGTGCTGGTTATCGTACATTATTGGATGCTCTTATTCCAGCATCGTCAGTTCTCAAAGAGGTTAAAAACAATGATTACCGTGTTTTGGCATTTGATATTTATTTGGTGCCAAGCTCTGTAAGCATAATTTAAGCTTTAGGAACAGAAGTCGTCTGCTGGAGATGATCCCATTGACGCATTTGTTATTTCTACTGAAGCAGCAGTGTCGGGGGCTGACTCAACTAAAGACATGCTTGCACAGGTAGCACTTGGAAACCTTTGCTGGCTTTATTTTTGCTGTTTCAAGCATGTTTGGCTAATAACTCTTTTTTTTTTTTTAATTGATTAAAGTTGATGGAAAGTTACTTATTTTGACACTTAGAGTTCCTACCAAAAGAACTAATTTATTAAAAAAAAAAAAAAAAAAAATCTTAGTAGGAAAAATGTAACATCCAAACATGTTTGGAAACTATGTAACTTTTATCATTGCCAAGCTTAGCCAAACATGCATTCTATATTGGACTAAATTTTGGATTTTATAGGCTGGCCGTTCTTCATATGTCTCAACCGATTTCCTGCATCATTTCCTGAGCCAGGGGCCATGGCTGTGGCTTCATGGTACAAAGCAGCTGCCTTAGCCGTGAAGAAAGACTTCATGAAAACATTTATCTTGTGGTAACCATTACATTCTTCCGACAATGTTTTAGTTCTCGAGGAGGAATTAACATGTAAATTTTGTTCGTAACTTAAAACTGAGAGA